TCCGGATCCTATAGACGTCGACCTTACCATCGGTCAATAATGAAGTCAGTTTCCATCTCCTGGCTCCCTTAATGACGTTTGACGTTCTGATTGCTGTCAGTGGGTGGATTCCATGATGTCTCTCGTCTTAAATGCCACATTAGATTTCTAAGAAACTGAGCTCATCTGAGTCTGAGAATCAAAAGGCTCATGTATTCTATTGGCATGAGTCTAGTGCGTCTCCTTGTTTGGTTGCTTTCTGTTATTTTCCAGGCAGCAGATATGTGTGTGTGTGGGTGAAGGGTGACAGCGCTGAAGGCAGTGACGGTGGCTTTTGTCACATGTTGAAGTATTATTAAGGCCATAACTCATGTTTGCAACATCCATCTTGCATTCGCCTGCTTTCTTTTCCCTGGTGCAACATTTCTTTGATCGCTTTCCTGTTGTTCATTTCAAAGAATGAAAACTGTTATGTTATGGAGCCCCTTAAAATCCTTCCACATGAACTTCCTCAACTCTTTTAGGAGGAGGGTGAGTACATTTTGATTAGTCCTCACTCTTTTAAGACTCAGTTTTAGGCTTCAGAGTAAGATTAGTTTACTTAGATGAGGCATTCAGTTGTGATTTTTGCTCTATGTTGGCCAAATACACTCAAAGCCTAGCTGTAGCTATCCGATAAATATGAAGCAGAGGTTAAAAGCAGTAATGAAATGGAACTACTCAAGCTTGTCAAATTGTACTGTGGTGTAGTATCCGAGTATATGTACTTAGTTACACTCCACCACTGGCTAACTTGGGTCAGAGGTCACTTAAAAGTGCCGTTTCTTTTTTCTTTGTGCATTGCATTCTGGGAAAGCACATTCAGAATTCAGCTATGTTTACTATTCATGTTAACTTTTTAGTTTATTCGATGTAGTCATTTTTTATAGCTGCTCATCGATGGGCGTCGTTTTTTTGTTTTTGTTTTTTTTGGTCTGTTAACAGTCTAGTGCTTTACAGGAGAAAAGTTTGAAGCTGAAACTTCATACATGACCTCGGTATGGTTCCTTCTCGGAGTGATTAGATTTTAGGGTCAGTACATGCATTGGTGACCGCTACAGAGGTCAAAGGTCGCTCTCTTTACATTATTTATCATTTTAAGGCAAATCAAGGCAAGTTCATCCTCAAGTAGGAGCACAGTAAACGTACGTATGTATCAGAACACTTTTAACAGCCAGTTGCACAAACACGACTGACCACTAGGAGTGCTGGAGACCAGATACCAGAGGACTTACAGCTGCCTGATGAAGCTGCACTTCATTTTTTAAAAAAAATATCGATGGATGAACAAATAGCTTAGCCACTTGACCCATGAGTTTACAGACCCCCTCAAGTTTTTTTTTCTACTTAACATGTCCATGTGGTGTTGTTTTTATATACAGGCACATCCTGAATAAAATAATATGTCATGACCGCCACCAGTCAAGTATTTCCACCTTAATGCTGCCATGTACCGATGACAGTCTCACAGAGACAGATTCAGAGCTCAAGAGTTTTATACGGAACAAACCAAAGGAACTAATCCGGTCTTCTTGTGTGGTGGGGCTTTCTATATCATTATCCTTCTTTAGAATTGGTTTCTGGTTTGAACCCTTATGGCTGACTTCTAGGTTGATTTTAAGCGAGCCACATCGCCACCATTACTGATAAAATACTATTCTATCACCCCTAAAATACAGTAGAAAATATGTTCAATATGTCCTCCCTTTATGAATCCTGCCATTGGATGTTATCCCCTGTTGATTTTCAGCTTTTTTTTAACTTGATCATACTCATGAAACAGCAGTGAACAAAGACGTGAGCACTTTGCCAAAGGTTTGGATTCTGTAGGTGCTGGGAGACCACTGCTGATTCCTCTCCCTAAATACTTGGAGCTGAGCCCCTTTCTGGTCCTGACTACTAAAGAACAAAGAGGAACGCCACAGGGGTTATGTTGAAAACAAACACAGCCCATGGATGTGTTAGCTACAGGCAGTGAGGCTACTTTTAACAGCGAGAGGAGCTTTTCTTCATATTTCTGCACAGAGATTGGTCCGGAATAAAAACTGCTGAGTGTTCAAAAGCCTCAGATGCAACATTACAAACCAGCTGTCATGCATTTTGCTTCTTGTACCTTTCTCTCACATCGTAGACTTTCGATCACATAGTAGGCTATTTGTTTTTAACATTCTCCTGTTGATGCACATCATGAGTGATGTTGTTTGGATGGATAAGTCCAATTTTCCCGCCTGCAACTGTGTATAATTAAGTTTTTCTGGAGCGTGTGAACTGAGTTGCAGAAGAGCTGGTGTGCTTGAGCCGCCGCGGATGAGGAAGGGTGAACGAGTTCACAGATCTGCTCAAGGAAGCAACAGTGTAGAGTTTTGTCTGATCCATTTTACAGCGTGGAGGGATTATTTTTATGGAGGAAAAAGCTAAATACACTGTCGCCCATAAAGTTGGAATAATTTTTGTTTTCAGACACATTTCTCTTTTTATTTCTATTTCTAAACATCAGTAATCACTTCTGCCCGGGTTCAATGATTACATACTGAGTCCCAGTTACCAGGTGAAACCACTTCTGACTTTGGGATTTTACTGAAGAATGGGACGTCCTGCCCACTGACACCATCAACAAGCTTCTTGACAGTATGCCACAATGTCTTAGCGCATTGATCCGTGTCAGGGGTGGCCGAACTTAATATTAGTGACTGAGTGATATTTGGAAGAGTAACACTGGACATTCTAATGCATGAAATCCCCTCGAATATGCGTTTCCTGTTATATGACCAAGGTTTAAAAATTAAAACAAAACCCTTCATCTTATTGTTCAATACCCCCAGTTTAGTTTAAGCCTGAACACACAGTTTGCAAAAGTTCATTGTGGTTTAATATTTACAGGACACAAGCAACAGCAATTATTGGTTAAATAGAGGATAGATGGTTAGATCAGTGTCTAATGATGAAAACAGTAGATTGGCTTTAGTGTCGCCTTTGTCTACTGAAACCCAAGAAGTTATTCATCCTTCACCTGCTCCAAAGACACTTGAAATGCTTTCAGATAACAACATTTGACGAGGAATTCCTACCCTCGTAACCCTTCCCTGTTGTTCAGCTGTTGAGCCGTTCCACACTTATTTACAGTGACAGAAGCCTCGCTATCCTTCTGTGACGCTTTTGACACTCTTGCCATACGGAGCTGGTGATGACAATGATAATGAAAAAATGTGTGTTCGCACCGGCTCACGATGCCTTGCTGTGTGAAGATGAACAACGTGGCCTTATTGCAGTATTTCAGGTTTTTTTTTTTTTTCTAGCGTGAGTCGAGGCTAAAAGTGCTGCTGCTGTCTGTCAGATTGGAGATCAGGGCCACAAATTTCATTACGAGAAAAACAAATGTTGCTCCACAGCTAATAGACACACTGATGCATCTTGATAAACAGTTATTATGAGCTTCCGTAATGAACGCGAGCAGGACCGGAGCACACACTGTGTCTGTGCAGGCAGAGGGCAGTGTTACAATACGCTGCTGTGCGTCCCCGACTCTTTACGCACTTTCTCCCGTCTCACAGAGCCGCGCAGATTAATGCAAGATGTTCTCTCTCTCTTTCTTCGAATCTCACAGGATACAGTATGCGGGATTATTGCTGATAGCGAGTAGCTGGCACGTCACACAGAGAGAGAGAGAGAAAGTACTGGACGCTGTGTTTCTGGATTGTCTCTGGGGGTGGGGGGAAAAGGTCTGAACCACTGAGAGCAGGTGCTAGCATCACAGAATTAAAACCAGAACAAGCTGTGTGCTTTGTTTGGAGCTGCAGGGGGTTACAACTCTCCAGCGTACTGAATTGCCTTTTTTGTGTGTGTGTATGTTCTTGCATCTTCTTATTAAAATGTATGAGTGCACTCAAGGTTGGAATAGTTTTGCCGTTAAAGAGACGTAATCTGTCGATTTGCGCTGCAGGCCTCCAATGTGATGCTCGTCAGACGCTTTTATTGAAGCTGTAAAATGGGTTTGTGATATATTCAGTTTGTAGGTAGAAGGAAAAAGTTTGGTTTAATGCAATTTTTGGGGTTCCTTTCGATTCATGCGAAGACATTAAGGTTTAGGATTCTCACTTCATAAAGTCACTGAGCTGACTTTTTAATCCCTGGGGATTTTTTTTATATCTGTTTCAGCATTAGATGATTATCAGCTCATGTTAAAGCCTTTTTACTCGACACCATGTTTCATGAACTTTATTTCTGTTTGGATAAACTTGTCTCAAGCAGATCTGAACGGAGCACAAGTTCCTGCAGATTAAAAGCTATTCGGATCGTGTTATGTTCTTAATGATAGATGCAAAATTTTGATATTTCTGTGCATTATGCAGAAATGAGACTTTTGCTGTTTTCGTTTTCTCATCCCTGGAGGTGCTGGATGGCCATTACAACACTGAGAGAAGTCTAATATTTGCTTTTTCTGCAGAAGTGCACAATGCTGTGTCAGCAGGTGTGACCTGCATGAGGCTTTTGCATACAAATAAAGTGAACGGCGGTTCTCCATAAAATGCTGAAATTGCAGGATGGGCATACAATAAAAGAAATAAGAGAGAATGCAAAAATAATTTAGTTTAGGTTTTGTTTTTTATTACATTTTAAGATTTTCTTTGACTTCATTGCAAAAAAGAAAAAAAATGACATTTGACAATAAATATACATTCACAATAAAAATAGTTCAGATCGCAACAAAACATTCAAGTGTACTTAGCCATTATAAAATCTATGATAGGATGTAAACAACAGTTTTTCTTTCCTCCCCCCAACATTGCACCTCCTGAGCCAAGAGTCTCTTTTTCTCTCCCATCGGACATCTGCAAAAGGCAAAACGTCAACAAAACACATTTTACGCATCGATGCGCGAGTCTCACACGGTATGAAGCCACGTCACACATGAGGCTCTGATTGACAGAACAAGCTAACATTCTCAGTCTCGTGGGCAGTGTGTGTGCATGTGTGTTTTATTTGGCAGTTTAAGCGGACTGGCGGATCCAGTTCAGTGTCCATGGAAACGCAGCGCTGCGCCAGAGCGCGTGGCTGCGGACCCGGCGTCTCCACAACTCCGGTGTCAGTTTGAGCGCAGCCGGCAGCACAGGTCGCCCCTCAAGCTGACGCACCAGGCTCCTTTTCCTTTCAAATTTCTTTCCAATTTGTCTCGAGTCTGGGTCTCACGGTCCGCTTAACTGATCACGCATCTGTCTTTGTCTTTGCCTTGACTGCCTCCGATGGCTTTCTCTTTAATGTACATGAGGTCGCTGTGCACGCTGGGTCTCCGGGCGCACGGAGTCACCACGCCGTACGCTTCCCCAATGTCCTTCATCTTCTTGTTTTTCAGAGACTTTCTGTGCAGCATGTCGCAGTACTGCACGGACACTTTCCGGTGAAGGTCGGGGCTCATTTCGTGAGGTAGTTTGGCCAAGGTAAACAGAGTCTGAAACATCTTATCCACGTTCTCGTTGCGCTTGGCGGAGATCTCGAAGTACGCGCACTTGTCGTCCCCGGCCACCAGCTGCTCGATCTCCTCCTGCTGCACCTCCCGGTAGAACTCTCTGTCGCCCTTGTTCCCGCAGATAACCAGAGGGACGTCGATGTTCTCTTTGATCTTGTTTTTCAGGCATGACTTAGTCTCGTAGATCTGACGCTTAAGCCGCTGCACCTCCTGAAAGGAGTCTCTGTTGTCCAAACTGAAGACGAGGATGAAGACGTCGCCTGGAGGAAGAAAAATAATACTTTGATTAACTTTCTGTGCTCTGAATTGATGTGCATATTAACAATACATCTCTACAAGCACCGATGCACCCGGGAGCCCTGCGCTAAAGGCGCACAGTGACTGCATTTTTGCAACACTTGAACTGCACGATAATCACTGTTTTCTGGTTTTGCAGAACGACTTTTTGTTGCACAAACAAAGATAATTACCTGTCAGTATGGAAAGTCTCCTCATGGCGGGGAAAGGGTGGTTCCCTGATGTATCCAGTATGTCCAGCTGATAAACGTCTCCCTTGATGCTGTACAGTTTCCTGTGGAAGTCCTCGATGGTCGGCGTGTACTGCTCGTCGAATCTCCCGTTCAGGAAACGGGACACGATGGCCGTTTTCCCAACTTTGGTGGATCCCAAAATCACCATCCTGTAGCAGTTCTTTGCTGGGATGTCAAAATCGCTCTCGGAGGGCGACATTTTCTTAATCATTGTCGTGCAAAGGTGCTTTTCCTTGGGTTGATGTATTCTGCGTGTGTGCGTAAAAGACGAGCGGGCTGCCTTTGAGTCAGCGGAGAAGCTGCTGGTTGCTCTGCTGTGCGTTTCTGTCTGGACTCCTGACTGGAGCCGCGTATTTAAGCGCGCAGCGGAGCCCTCCCCCTGTGCGCGTCACAGCTCCGTGAGTAGGAACTGGCTGCTCCATTGAGCGCAAGGAGAAGCGGACCAAACTCCCACTGGTGCGTCAGTCTGTCATTTCTAATGAAGACAAGACGGGAATCAGTAACAGACCGTCCAAAAAACAGTACATTATAGCATTAAGTCGCATGGTACTGAGAAACTGTGCTGTGCGTAACAGCAATAATAATAACTTCTATGCAATAAGTTAATAATTGACTCGTCTTCCGGCGTTTAACCCGGTTTGGTACACTGGATTGAAATGACAGTGACCCTTAGACATTTTCTGTGACAGCAGACAGCGGATGCAAGTTCCTCTAGACTAAACAAAGCTGGATTTATAAAGTTCAGATTGCAAAATGAGAAGTATTCTCACATTATTCTTATACTTGCAAAAAATAAATCATGCAAAAAACATTAACACTTAGTTGAACCTCAACAACAGCTGTTTATTCATCGCTGTCTTGTACAAAATTGCATTCACTGATTTATTCATTCACACCCTCAGTAGCTGCAGCTGCTGCTTATTCATGTCACCAGGCAGAAACTGCAGAAGGATTGAAGAGCTGCAGTTAGCAAAGTGACCAACAGGGGGCACTCAGGGTACGATTCTATCGAGGTGAAGGGCTGGACTTACCTGAGGGGGATAAACAACACAGTGGAGTGCTTTTGTGTCTGTGTCTGTGCATGTGTCAGCATATAAGCAGACTCCATCTGTTTGTTTAGTCGACTGCCTTCAAGAGAGGTTTTTTTTTTTTTAATCACAGCTGGCGAATGCAAAAAGGCATTAAACGGTCAATTTCCACAGTCATTCATCTGTAATGAACAACAGCAGTCATTACACGGGAGGGGAGTGTATATGTGGAGGTGGGAGCAAAGCTTTGTTTCCAGCAGCAGGTTCATGAAAACTGAATGGAGTTCTTCCGTAGTGAAGCAGGCGGGGGGGCAGTTAATTCAAACTTCTTGGGTTAAAAATGCATTTGTTCTGTCAAGGGTGAAGACTGACGCAGGAGCTCAGCGACAGACAATAATGATGCAGTTTAATGAAAGCTACAGTGTGACCTGAGGTTATGGCGATAATGACTTCTGTAGCAGACGTTTCTGTACAAAGTTATTTCTCGTAAGCGCATTCCAGTTGGATGAAGATCAAATGAGCGCATACCACATCAATAAGTACAATTCGAGTGTCCCCTTTTTTCTTCCTTGGAAATGAGTTGTTAGTGTATCCAGATTTATTTTAGAAAAGCAGGGACTCTGCTGTCCTGGCTTCAGACGATTTTTCGCTGTGGGACCAGAATGGAGAAAGCCTGAGACTGAAATGAGCACCAAGGGATCAATCAAAGGAGAAGGAGGGCAACGGCCGGGCTGGAGAGTTCACAAGAACTGTGTTTCCACCTTAAGTTCCAGGAACTTCGAGTTCCAAGGACTAATATCCAGGAACTTTCCATGAAATAAAGGTTCCCCAGCCCTCCACTGTCTGTGTTTCCACCAAGGATATTATGCGGAACCAAAGCTAGAGCAAACTATAAATGAAACTGTACTTAAAATGATATCATGCTCTAACAGAACTTAGAAAATATAGAAAAAATGTCTCTAGCACAAGCATGAGGAGGTTGATTCATAATGATTTGTGAGGCAATGTGTTTGTGTAATAATAAAAAATAATAATACCAACTTTACTGGTTAATAATAACTTCATTTTGACAAAGTAAAAGCAGGATGCCCAAGTGGTAAAACAGTAAGACCTAACAAAGCACATTACAATTAAGATAAAGTTCAAACAAGAAGAAAAGAGACAAAAAACATAAAATTTAAATATAAGGAAAAAGGAAATAAAATAAAGCAAGTAAACGCCTAATAAACAGTTTCTTGCTTTACCATTATTATTATTATTATTATTATACATCTCATAAAAGCAAGTCTACAAAAATGGGTTTTAAGAAGTAATTTAAAAGAGGTTGCTGATATCTTGTCGTGTCGGTCGTGTCAAAGCTGAAGTTCAGTCACGTTTGGATTGAGGCTTCAATGTCCGAACAGCTGGACGGGCTCTACGGTTTCATTTAGCAGACGCTTTTATCCAAAGCGATGTTCATCTGAGAGCAGATACAACACAAGCAAGGATCTAGTCAGGAGAAAACAATCTAGATAAGTGCCATAGAACAAGTTCAAGTGTGATAGGGTGTTAATGCCAGTAGCAGGCTGTGTGGGAGGTAATAGGATTTTATCTATTTTTTTCAGTCTGTCAAGTGTGAAGGTGTTCAGAGAAGAGTTGGGTCTTTAGTCTTTTCTTAAAGACTGAGAGGGTTTGCTGGTCGAGTGTAGTGAACGGGAGGGAGTGTAGACCCGAATGAGAGAGTTCAGGTAGGAGGGAGCTGTTCTCTGTAGTTTTGTGGGTAAGTGTCAGAGTTTTGAATTTGATGCGGGGAACAACTGGAGGCCAGTGAAGCGATCTGAACAGCGGGGTGACATGTGCTGTCCATCGGAGGATCTCAGGCTGCAGGTTGGTTCATATGGGGTCTACATTGCTGCTCTTGCAGCCAGATCCTGACATGCTTTAAAAGTGATGAGTGAAATCATAAAGCCAATTTCAAACAGACAGAGAGACGGTAGAGATGAAGTCAGGATTGGTGTGATGCAATGTCGTCCGCTGAAACCTGTGAGAAGCTCAGCTGCTACATTTGGAGGTGAGAGGTTGACTTTTGCTTTGTGGCAGAAAGGAGTGACTTATTTTAGTCAAGTCTGGACAAAATATGTGTGATTTTTTTTTGCAGGTTGTAGTGAGAGAGCATCAGTTAAAATCTGGAGATGGTTCATAACTAGAAGGAGCAGGACTGGACGACAGTCTTTTAGTCGGTGGTTTAGAGCTGAATCAGATCGCAGCTCCAGGTTTCTGGCAACCGGCTTCATGTTAGCAGACAAACAGTCTACAGACCACCCTCAGTGAGACTGGGGGACCGGACAATATGGTTTCAGATGAGAATTACTGAGTTGCAGAAAATGTGCCACCCAACAGTCGACAAGACAAACAGTAGCTTTGTTTCTTGGGTCCTCAGAGCTCAGGGGAAGGTCTGAAAAAATAGCATACAATAACCATATGAAGTATATAAACACAAGCATATAAAGATATAATATATTAATACATGTAGAAGCATATAAACAGCAAAAAGGATCGACAATGAAAACAGGTAAACTTAAAATTTAACATAAAATTAAACTGAAACAAGCTCACTCATTCTGAAAAACAGAAACTGAAAACCAAAAATGAAAAGTCAAAAAGAAAAACTGAAGAAAAACATAACTCTGGTGTTCTGATGATTCACAAATCTGTTCTTTTTTCACGTCATTTTTTATTACATCACAAAACAATGACTGCTTTTTTTTTAAGGTGGATCATGCTTTTTGCAGATTACCAGCTCAAGTTCTAAATAAATACCTTTCTCTGCATAAATATCAAGGCCATCACACCATCTAGCACAGGACATCCATCCATCATCTATACACCACTTAATCCTCACTAGGGTCATGGGGGGCTGGAGCCTGTCCCAGCTGACTTAGGGTGAAGGCAGGGGACACCCTGGACAGGTCACCAGTCTATCACAGGGCTACATTTAGAGACAGACAACCAAGCACACTCACATTCACACCTACGGACAATTTAGAATCACCAATTAACCTCAACATGTTTTTGGACTATGTGGGAGGAAGCCGGAGAACCCGGAGAGAACCCATGCTGCACGGGGAGAACATGAGAACAGGACTTATGAACAGAAATGAAACAAATTTGTTTGTTCGCAGGTTTTTTAAAACATACATCTTTAACTGGAGTGCAAGTGACAGCAGGCGGCCGTACAGTGAACAGGAAGGCAGGGCGGTGAGTTAAACATCAGGCAGGAGTTTGGGTGAGTTCTAGATCTTGCTGGTGCTGGATCCACATCTGGAGGAATCTACAAGCTACCATGGTGATGTTTGTTGAGAAGAACAGAAAATCCTCCTGGAATCACACTTACTGTCCAAGCTGGCACCAGATCTGTCAGCAGCAGCCCAGTGAGACATATTAAGTGTGTCTCTGTCACGTCCTTTTATGCACTATTTTAGTTTTGCATTTATAAAAACCTGAGCGGAAAGATGGAAAACAACAACAACAACAACAAAAAAGTTTATCAGCTTGAGTGAGACGGGAAAAGCAGTGTCTTGATATATATAAAGTAAACAGACACATGAAGTACTTGACTCAAGCTTCCATTTCACTGGAAAGACAGAAAGTAGCAGCACAGAAAAAAAAAAAAAAATAGAAATGTGGTCTTTGGCCAAATACCCAGCAACTTTCAGTTTGGACAGAATCCAGTTCAGGACATGTGACAGCTCAGTTTTATGTGTATGCATGAAAGCCGAGCACTGAGTCACCCTGCAGTCTGGACAAGAGATGCACACATCGACTACGCCGAGACTTTATCAGTGCAGATAAGCGGACCATAATCAATGCACATTAGAAACCTGCTCGACTGATGCTGCAACTGTGGTATTTCCTGTACTCAACTGGGAAACGTGATGTGGATTCAGGTTGTTTTCGACCTGCTCTCCCTGCCTTTAAAACCCCTGATGCAGCAGTTTGACAGGAAGGGGAGACGCATGTGACGGCAGTGGGAAGATGACTCGCTGCATTTTGAGTCAGAGAAGATGATTGGCTACGTGGCGGACCAAGCCTCCACAATTTTAAGATATCGGTTAATAAGAAATAAAGCTCCAAAGTGTAAAAAAGCACAGACAGGAAACCCAATAAAAACCTGTGAACAGCCAATTCTTATAAAAATTGATCGTAGGATTGCAGATGTAAAAAACAAAACAAAAACAGAGTTAGCATCAATATAAACAGTTAAGGTTACCGCTTGTTTTCACTGAAGAAAGCCCCTCCCTTGCTAAGTGTGATGGG